CTCTTCATTTGTGTGGTGATTTTGGTCCAAACTAAAAGGGGTTCGTTACATAAAGGGCTTTCAATGGCTTAAAGTCTACCTGCAACTGGCTGTAAACGTCACTGCACAATAAGTGTTCCGGGACCAGCCCCCCAAAAAATCTGCTCTCGGACCTGAAGCACGATCCGTACCATGCGCAGGTACTCTGGGCACAGGACAGGAGCGCACAGAATTTTCCTATCTCTTGTAATAAAAAGTAGCTACTGTGCATGTACAATTTTTAATGAGAGTCTATGAACTAGATTCTTGCGCCCCCAGGGCAGAAATACACCACCAATCATAGACAATGCTTTTAAAAGAAACAACTTTACACACCATTAACTATAATATATTTATCTTACACAACAAAAAATTATAATCATGTTTTTCTAAATATTTTTATTTGATTTATTTTTTATTTAATTTTTTTTAATGTCTTCAAGGTAATATGGTCAGTGGTGTGAGTGGTGGGGCGGTGCCCTAGCATCCTCTATTGGCCAGCTGCCACTGTTCTGATATGTAACTGAGTCAGGTTTGTACGATGCTTTGCTCACTTGCCTTTTCAGATCAGGACTTTGTGATGGCCTCTTCACGTTATTGACTCTGTTGTCCTTGAGCCACATGCTGAAAGTCATTGTCAATTTGGAGACTCGTGTGCTCAAGCTTTACCTTCCTGGCTGATGTCTTGATATATGCAATGGTCTTTATGTCCAAACAGTTCAGTTTTAGTTTCATCAGGTCACAAGACATCTCCAAAAATGAGGACCTTGGTCTCTGTGTGCATTTTCAAACTGTAATCTGGCTTTTTATGTTGCTTTTGGAAGATTCTTTCTCTCTGAATGACCTTTGAGCCCATGTCTGTACAAGATTTATGCAACAAACGGCTATTTATTCCATGACTTTTTCCAAATATACTTTGTATTTTTAGCTAAACAACAGATAAACTAACAGCAGATGGAAATAAAAGTTTATCCTTACCAGTCAAAAACATGTTTTCTATGAAAAAAAACTCCATCTTCTACTGCTTATACTCATGGTTGGATTGTGGAGGCAACAGGTGCAGGAGAGAAACCCAGACATCATTCCCCCCAGCAACACTCTCCAGTTCTTGGCCCCAAAGTGCTCCCAGTCCAGAGAAGATTCACTATCCCTCCAGCAAGTTTCCCTGGGGCCTCTGAACAGTGGGACATGCCCAGAAAACCTCCAAAGGGATGTGTTCAGTTTACATCATAACCAGTTTCCTGAACCACCTCTGCTGACTCCTTGTGATGTGAAGGAGCAGCGGCTCTGCCACGAGTTCTCCCCGGAGCTCCTCACCATGTCTGTAATGCTGAGCCCACCACTATAAAGAGAGCTCATTTCAACCACTTGTACCTGTGATCTGGCTCTTTGGGTCCTGATCCAAAACTCATACCAGTGAGTGAATGTAGACCGAAACAAAAACCAATTCTCATCATTCGAGTCCAAAGAAACTCCACCACTTGCTTTTATGAGACATTTCTACATCAGAAAATCCCTCTCCTTCTACTCCACCTTGTTACGGTGATAGTTTCATGATGTTTTGGGCATGTTTTGCCATATTTTAGTTTAAAACAAATAAAACCTTGTAAAACAAAGTCCCTGCACTTTTCTGCATGCACACACGTGCTCTGAGTTGGTTGTAATGGTTACATGTGGATAGATAGTCATTTCAGAGCCCACCAGTCCCAGCAGCTCATGTCAGTGGTGGGTGTTTGGCTCTGGTAGTATCAGAACCAGCATCCGAACTGGCTGCTCTGATCTATATGTAAACATGCGTCCCTTCCAACAATGCTCTGTGAATATTATTAGCTCTGAAGAACATAGATTGACCCAAATTAGCAACAAAAAGAGGTTTTAAATCAAAAAGGAGAAGGCCTACAGCCATTCTGATACAAACCTCAAATCATGAGTCAGCAATCAGATGTACGTTAACAAACCAAATAAAGATGCTGCCAAATAAAGTCATTAACTTATAGGTTAACCTGTGACTTTAAAGAAACTAATTAAAATATTTATCTCTCATTATTCAGACATTTGACAAATAAAAAAAATGTGAGAATCCTAACACCTAAAGGTTTAGTCTTGTCAGTTTCTTTTGTGTTTTTATCGTGTGTATGTAAACATCTGGTTTTGACTTTTGATCAACACGTGGGTCTTTCTTTTGGGTTTTGGTTCTCTCAGTTCAGAGTTTATATTTGAGCTCCTGGAGTTTGTTGGATTGATTTTACTTTGCAGAATTTAATTATCTCCAGTAAAGACAAACAGGTTTAACTGGAAAGAGTCCAGTCTGGATAAAAACCTGCAGTTTCTTCTCAACTTTTGTCTTTTAGTTAGAAACGCACAGAATTTCTACATTCTGGTGTTTTTTTGTTTGTTTGTTTGTTTTTGTCTCTCAGGCTGTGCAGAAAAAATGAATTATTATAAAAAGTATTCAAATAAATCTGACAACAAATCTGAACTCAGACTGGACTTAATGTGTTTGGACCCTGCTCCACCTTTTCCTCCTTTCCCAGAGATTTTTTTATTTATTTTTTATGTAGATTTGGAGACATAACCTTGTTGAGCCAGTTTCTACTTTGTGAGTAAATAATTTTAATTTTCTAATACATCTAAAAACAGTACGGTATATTTATTTTAAACAGTTTGAAATGTTCACTTCATTCATTTATTTTTTTCTTTTTTGGTTGTCTTACAAATTTGTTTCAATGTGTTCATGATGTGGAAGTTTAATAAGAAGTAAAAGACCCAGACTATACTAAGATAAATTAGAGAAAACAAATTTGCTTTATATAAATATAAAATATTTAACATATACCTCAGACAATGCTTTTTTCGTCAGAATGCAGAATAAATGCTGAGAAAAGTTGCAGAAAAAACTGACCAGTAAAAGCAGCAAATTGATAAAAGCTTAAAAAAGTAGAATGACTATAAAAAGCTGAAAATAGAAATATAACGCAGTCAGTCCAATGTAATCAAACTGAACGTAGAAAAATGCTAGCTAAAAGCAGAAAAACTTAGATAAAAGCTAAAAGTAGCTTAAATAACTAGAAATCATGACATCTCCCAGATCAGACTCAAATTAAACATTTTGTGTGATGAAGATGAAGAAAGTTGAGAAACGAGTCAAAACAAATTCAGGCTCTGTGATCTTCTCCTCCACCTCTGTTCCTCAGCTGCTCTCAGCTGTTTGTCCAACAAGTCGTCTGGCTCGTCCAGATGAAACGTTAAGTTGCGCTGCCATCTTGTTTGAGAGGACCTTCTCCTCCAACTCTGTGATGATCTTTGCCTGTTCCAGGCTTCGCTCATCGTTTTTACATCCGTCCCTGCAGACTGAACCTCTCCTGACTCACATCCTTACAATTTCTCTGAGCATTGCACAGTCTGACCTTGGGATGGATTTTAGTGACACGCACTCTTAATACGACCGACATCTGTCCCCCCCCCCCCCCCCACTTGTTAACACCTTTCACAGTAAACTGATGTATTACAAACAGCAGCAGTTCATCTCCCGTCATTGCTGATATCTGTCCTCCCGTTAACACACCTGTTTTTTTAGAGGGGGGGGGGGGGGGTCACATGATTGGATCAGTTCATTTCACCAGCAGCACCTGCTGCTTGTCTTCAACCTGTGAAGCAGCGAGGTGTTCCTGTCTTTGTTGTGTTTAATGAACACCAGCAGGACGGGATGTTTGGAATGAGATGAATTTGTGTTTTGGGTCTAACTCTGTCAGCATCAGGACCAGGTCAGGGTGGAGGCTCCTCCTGACAACTGTCACATCCCTGCTGTGCCATTTTTAGAGCGTGGGATTTTTGTTGAATGGCAGTTAACAACAATAATAACAATATTAATAATGATACTTATTATTATTATCAAGAGTTTATTTTATTAATAAAGGATATTAATATGTGCAGTTGTTTTTAAATACATTTTTCAACTGATCTAAACAGCAGGCTGTGAATGATAAATATGAAATATGTTGTTAGATTTGTGACACGTTAATTCATGTTTTTATCTCTTATTGTTTCATTTCTTCTCATCACGTTTGTCAACGCAACAGATCACTTCCCGTCTCTAAAGGCCGAGCTCCTTCATCACGCAGATGTCTGATGCGTGACTCCAGCAGCAGTTCCGCAACACTAGAGGGCGTGTTGGCCTCAGTGCGCGCGCGTGTGTGTGTGTGCCCGTGCGTGTGCAGAGGGGGGGGGGGGGTTGAATCCCAATTTCTGCTGGTTAAATATATAAAAATAACAGCGTCTAACTGATTGCTATGTTATGTGTTCTGAGGTATTTGTTAAATATTTTATATTTACATGAAGCAAAATAGTTTTCTCTGATTTCATTTCAGTTGTTTAGCCTTGGTGAGAACA